AGTAGGAGGAAGAGTTTAGAAGCCAGTGTGGCTGGAGCAGAGGAAGCAAGGGTGTGGGGGATGGGAGGGAGAGGTCAGGAAGGGCCACGTGGATTTACTCTGAGTGAGACAGGCACTTCAGGGAGGGCTCTAAGCAGGGAAAAACAGAACCCTAGTAGGAGGTGGCTTTCTTTATGTCCAGGTCTGCCTCTGCCCCCCTCCCCTATAGGGCCTGGAGACACCAGTTGCAGAGTTGCTCCTCAGAGGGCTTTGCAGGGCCAGGCTGCATGGAGCTCCCTGGGCTGACGTGACAGCTCTCAGGCCAAACCTGGGCTTTGCACTGAGACTGGCCTCCCCAGGCCCTGGGTCTTCCAGCCTTTCCACTAGGTGGGTGGCAGGTGATGTACGCTTCAGAGAAGGCTGTTGGGGCCAAGAGAAGGCAGTTGGGGGTCTTGAATCACTAGACCCCAGAGGAAGTTCCACCAGGACAGAAGAAGACCGGATGCAGTGGTCCTGGGTGTCCTTCCTTGTGGATGAAAAATCCCCAGTTCCTGATCCATCCTGAGTAGGACTGCGGACTGCCTCTCCAGTTGTTTGTTTGTTTTCTGTTTTCTTTTTCTGGGGAAATAGCCCCATCTCGTGGTCTTCCGCAGGCATCAGCACAGAAGCCCACTGGCTGCCCCTCCTGCTTTGGAGCCGCTTCACTTCAGTTGGCAGCACTGCTGTACCCCCTGCACCCCCTCCTCCCCTGGGGCGGTGGGTGAGTGGCTCCTCATTCTCAGCTTTCCAGCATCAGTGAGAGGGTGGGAGTCTGCCCCCTTCCTGGGGGCGAACCAGCCCAGGAGGAGGTTGGCAGGGCCTTACTGGCTTCTGGCCCAGGGCACTGCTGTCTGATGGACCTTCGCCTGCATGCCCAGTGCTGGGTTTCAGGGGAAAGCTGAGCTTCGGGGTCTGGGATCATTTTTCAGTTTCTCCTCTGTTCTGGTGGCCCAAGGTCAAAGGGTCTTAGGAGAAGCTGCTTTCCAGTTCCACAGGCTCCTTCTAGATTGTTCCTTATGTACGTGCTAGGGAGTGTCACCCCATTCTCACCTGGAGGGTTACTTGGAGTTATAGTCTGTGAGGACAGGGCTTGTCGTGTATTTCTTTCCAGGATTTGAAAGTATGCTGACTTTGGGGATCTAGGTCCCAAGCATAGACACTGTTGTGTGTGACCACTCATCATGACCCACACCCTCAATGCACCTTGTGGTATTGAACTTAAGTGTTGATCTCCATCTCCAGGCGAGCCTATCCATGCTGTTTCTCTCTTGGTCACAGCTCAACAGCTGCTCTCCATTGGGGGCTTGGAGTGGGAGACCAGAAATAATGCCTCTTTCTTTAGACTTTTCTGTGTTTTCCAAGATGGATCATGACCTGACAGTACAGCACGGGAGAGAGAAAAGAAGTATGTGTTGTTCTTCAAAACAATGTGCTGCTGGTCTGAAAATCCTGGCTGTTATCACTAGTCTCCGCCCTGCACCTTTAGCTCGTTAGGTCCCCCAGTGACTGATGGTGTGTCAGAATGAAACACGTGACGTGTGAACATCAGAATGATTACTCGACAGTGACACCTCTTGCCCCTCCCTTTTTTTTATTGAGATGAGATTCACATAAGATAAAATTAACCATTTTAAAAAGAACAATTCAGTGGCATTAAGTACTTTCACAATGTTGTGCAACCATCACCACTATCTAGTTCCAGAACATTTTCATCACCCATGGAGGAAACCTCATACCCATGAAGCAGTCACACACACACACACACACACACACACACACACACCGTTCCCACCCATGCCCCCAGCACCCACCGATCTGTTCTGTGACTCTGGATTTTCCTATTCTAGACATGTCATATGTTTTATAAAATAAGTTTTTGTTTTGTTTTGTTTTTTATCCTTACCCGAGGACACTTTTTCATTCTTTGTTCAGATAAAGCAGGAGGGAGAGAGAGAGAGAGAAACATCGATGTGAAAGGGACACATTGAGTGGCTGCCACCCGCACGACCAACCAGGGCCGGGGACAAACTGCAACCGAGGTACATGCCCTTAGCGGGAGCCAAACCCGGGTCTCTCCGGACCGCAGGCCGACGCTCTAACCGCTGAGCCAAACCGGCCAGGGAGGATTTTTTTTTTTTTTTTTTGATGGCAGGTCACAAGACAGTGATACTTGGAGAAATGAAAGGCAGAACTCTTTCTTACTTACAACTCCAAAGGAGAGGGGTGCACCAGGGTAGCATACTACTTTCTGTGGGGTCCCTCTGGGCATAAGGGTTGTCCCCAGTTGTCTGGTAGTAGCACCTGAGCGTGGAAGCCCAATAAGGGGGCTGGGAGCATGTTTAGTGGCCCCAGAGAGAGGAACCCTGATGAGGGAGGTAGTTGGGATGGGAGCTTAACAAACTGCCCATTAAGGGCAGAGAAAAGAGGGTTTTTAGTCATAACTTCCAAACTAGGTCAAGACAGCTCTTGTGAAATATTATATTATATCATATAAATGGAATCATACCATCTGTGGCCTTTTGTGTGTGTGTGGCTTTTTTCACTGAGCATAATATCTCCAAGGTTCATCCACATTGTAGTATGTATCAACATTTCATTCCTCTTTATGGCCAAATAATATTCCATTGTGTTTATGGACCATGTTTTGTTTATCCATTCATCAGTCAATGGACATTGAGTTGTTTCCTCCTGTTCGCTCTGGTGAATCATGCTTCTAGGAACACTCATGTACGTGTTTTTATTTGAACACCTGTTTTCAGTTCTTTTGAGCATGTATCCAGGAGTGGAATTGCTGGGTCATATGATAACTATGTTTACTTATTGAGAAACCATCGAATTATTTTCCCTCTAAATTTTGAACACCGTCAAGCAAACAGACAAGTAGACAGACTAGGCTAATGAAGTCCATGTACCCACCTCCCAGGGTTGGCAGTGGCCTCCATCTGCCTTATTTGCTTGTTTACCCTCCCCTGCCCTTCCTTTCCTTTCCCTTCCCTTCCCTTCTCAACATTTTAAAGTACGTTTACAGGCTATTCTCTCCTCAAATGCTTCAATGTGCATTTCTTGACAAAGACAGTTTCTTCCACAGCCAGTGCCATTATCCATCTAACACATGGGCAGCAGTGGTTCCTACTGTCCTCTGAGAGTCATTCCGCAGTCGAACCTCCATGCCCCCCAATGCCTTTGACTCCTCTATTGTTCATGCCAGGATATCATCAAGGACTCCACTGCACTTGGCTATTGGCCCCTTAAATCTCTTTTCACCTAGAATAGTCATCCTCCCTAGCCTCCTCCTTTCTCCATGGCACTGATTTGCAGAGGAGACCAGGAAACAGCCCATCTTCTGGATCAAGCTGCATGCTTCCTTGTGGTGTCTTGAACTGGTCTTCTCTGTCCCTGAGATCCTCTGTAAACTGCAGGTTGGGTCCCAAGGCTGCATTAGAATTGGGTCAAGCTTTGGCAAGAGCCCTCCTGGGCAACCTGAGCACTCCCCACAACATCCCCGAAGGCACAGCCCACCTCTGTCCCACCACTGTAAGATTAGCTTTCTCTCTTGTAACCAGCAGTAGCCCAGGAAGACATTTTGACATCATGTGGATGTCCATTCTTCCTCTGTCCTTCACCTAATGGTTTTAGCATCCACTCGACCTTAAGAGAGATTCTTTCTCTCTGATTAATATAAACTTCTTCATCAGACACATGAGTTTATTTTCTGGGCCAGTGTTGATTGACAACTCATCTCAGGTGATAGAGGACTTTGGAGTAATTTAAATGATCCCCTTGCCCTCTCTCCTGTTGCACAAAGAAGATGTGCTCGTCCACATCAGCATAAGAAAAACTCTGGGCACAGGCCCACCTGCTCACCATCCATAGCCTTGTTCCTCTGCTGCTCCACCCTGGACTTCCACCTTTTGGTCTCCAGTTGGGTGAAAGTAACATCCTTAGAGCAAACTTTCTTCTTCCCCACTGTCTTCTGACATTGAGAACTGATATGGAGAAATATGATTCTGTCCACTTTGTCAGTGACATGCTCTTCCTGCCCTAAGTGGGAGTCCCAGCTCCCTCCTGTCCCCGAGAGACCCACATGGCCTCACCTTCTGCAACACCCCCCACCCATGAATGCTACACTCAGGCCTATCTGACGGCTGGATATGGGCCGTGCCTTTAGCCTGCTGCTCTCTTTATTCACCCCAACCTTCAGCTCTTGGCCCGAATATTACCTCTTCAGAGAGCACCCCTTCCCTAGCTATTGTGGTCCCTTAATTGCACAGCTCACCAACCTGGTCTTTCTCTTTCCCTTGAGAGAAAGTCTGGTTGCAGGTGGAGGTGGTATATTTGGAGTTTTCCTGTAAGAACCCTGATCTGGCCCTGGCCGGTTTGGCTCAGTGGTTAGAGCGTCGGCCCGCGGACCAGAGAGATCCGGGTTCGGTTCCCGCTAAGGGCATGTACCTCAGTTGCAGTTTGTCCCCGGCCCTGGGTGGGGTCGTTTGGGTGGCAACCACTCGATGTGTCTCTCTCACATTGATGTTTCTCTCTCTCTTCCTCTCTCTCTCCCTCCCTCTCTATCTGAAGATAAATGCAAAAAAAAAAAAAAAGAACCCTGACCTGAGGGGAAAGGGATGGATGGAAAGTTGGGGTCATGGGTACTGCCCACATGAGAAGAAGGCCAAGGGAAGAAAGAAATGAGAAAAAGAAAGGAAACAGGAAACACTCCCTTGAAAGCCTGGTTAGGTGCGGCTGTCATGGGGAGGGAGTAAATTCGTGTCTGTGGTCCATTACATAGGTGAGGAGAGGGGACAGAAGCTCAGTTTGGGAAAGTGTTAAGGGTTGAATTGTGTCCCCCCAAAAAAGATATAGTATGTTGAAGTCCTGTCCCCAGTAGCTGTAAATGGCACCTGATCTGGATGGGGCTATGCGGGAGTAAGGTGGGCCTCATCTCATCTGGTTCTTTCCACTTCCCTTAGCTTCTCTGTGCACCTGCCATGGCAGCCATTCTTCTGACAACCAGACCCAAGGTGAGTGGGTCTCCCCAGCTGTGGGTGGCCCCTTGCCTCAGTATCTCCCCTGTACGGTCTCCATCTGCCACCTCCTCATGTCCCAGCTTCACAACTCTTGCAATTCTGAGCCTCCCCCAGCTGCTGAGCTCTCCAGTACCACCCTTGTCTGATCTTTAGTTGCTGACACCTCATCCTAGGACCCATGAGGGCGAATTTCCCTTTAGCCACAGGAATGGCTCTTTTTAGGTGCCAGTATCTTTTGAGGATGTGTCCGTGTACTTCACCAAGACAGAATGGAAGCTTCTGGATCTCAAACAAAGGATCCTCTACAAGAGAGTGATGCTGGAGAACTACCGCCATTTGGTGTCCCTGGGTAAGGACCTCACACACATCCAGTGCCCCCTGCACTATCTCTGAAATCAGTTTATTTCTGAATTTCTTTGCTGGTTGATTACTGTGAGGCCAAGAAGGAATGCATTTCCCCATCAGATCCATAATCAATTGCAGCCCAGCTTTTGTCTCAACAGGGCAGTTTTTAGCTCAGTGGTTTGGGCCTGTCAATGTTTTAGGTAAATGTGTGCCCTCCCCCACCAAACTTATTTTGCATATAAACTCATAGGTTAACTAAACCTCTTCTACCCAAAAGATAGGTGCAACTTACCCTATGCAACATTTGAGACTTAATTCACTTTTACCAAGGTTGCATTTCACATTTTTTTCACGTTAGAGACTTTAGCAGCATTGAGCCACAGAGGGCCCAGGACAGGGAGGCCCAGGATAAGGCATACAGAAAAGCTGGGATAGGAGCTGGGGCAGGCTCCCCTGTGGCACCCACTGCCTTTGGAGCAGCAATGGATCCTCTTGCTCCAGTTTTTCTTTTAGACTCAATAGATTTCACCTCTGTCCTTTATTCCCACAGAGGGAGACTACCTTCTTCCCCTAGGTTCTTTCTGACCCTCACCAGGAAAATTTGGGGTTCCCAGGGGAGTTCAGGAATCCCCAGCTGAGTTTGGAGTAAGGAACTGAGACATCCACTATGTCTGATGGTAACCCAAGGGACTTCAGCATTTGGGGTACAGGCAGCCCCTAGGCTCTGCTCAATTCCTGATACTCCCTAGGGTCTTGCCCCATGTGGATACCTGTTCTAGCCCTTCATCTGTACCTCAGGGTGTCCACACACACAAGAGGTCTGTCCTCCACACAGGCCAAATAATATCTTTATCTTCTGGGCTACTTAAGATTCCTATGCCTGCCTGGCCCCTGTATGCTTAGAGCCCCTCGCTTCCTTAGAGGGACTCTGCCCTTTCTCTGGACCCTCGCAGTGGCACTTTTGAGAGAGTTCTTTGTTCTCTGTTCCTGAAAGTACTGATTCGCTTCATTTCCATGGACAGGATTTTCATCCTCCAAACCTCACCTGGTCTCCCTGCTGGAGCGAGGGGAGAGGCCTTGGGTAGCAGGCATCAACAGGACAAGGGATGCCACAGGAATACAAGCAGGTGAGTAATGGGTGCTCGGCCAGCTTGCCTGAGCCATTTGCAAAGAGCAGTGGCCAGTTGAGGGTGGTATGGCCAATTTGGGTGGGAAATTCTCTTTTGTGGCAGATTTAAATGTCCCAAGGAGTTCCCCCCATGGAGGTGCCAGATGAAGGGTGCACCTTCTGCTATTTCACACCACTTCCTCCCTTCTTGCTCTCCTCTCTGCCTGCCCACAATCATCTCCTGGTTCATCTCTTCTCAGCCTTGGCATGAGGGTGTGGGTGAAGAACAAACCCTAATAGAGATACAGGGAGGGAGCAACACTCATTGGTGCTCTCTGTCTTTACAGATGAAAGGATCAAGAGCAAGACATTGAGTTCCAAGAAGAAACAATGTCCAAAAGAATTCACAGGGGCTGATCTTCAGGGTAGCAGAAAGGGCCAGGTAGCCAGGCTGCTGGAGGAAACATCTGAGCAGAGACAGAAACATGTCCATTCTCCAGAGACAGGTTCCAGCAGGGGTGACCATCACAGGGAGAAAGGCCAAGGCAGCTCCTCGGGTGAGGGAAGAGATATGGTGCAGAGAAGCAGCCACGGTGTTAGGCAGGATTCAGTTCTAAGGCAACAGTGTTCCAAAGGTGAAGAGAAGCGGTACCTATGTCAACAGTGTGGGAAATCCTTCAGCCGGAGCTCCAACCTCATTAAGCACCGCATAATCCACAGTGGCGAGAAGCCTTATGAGTGCTCTGAGTGTGGGAAACTCTTCCGGCGCAGCTTCGCCCTTCTGGAGCACCAACGCATCCACAGTGGCGAGAAGCCCTACGAGTGCAATGAGTGTGGGAAGACCTTTACGCGCAGCTCCAACCTCATCAAGCACCAAATTATCCACAGTGGTGAGAAGCCCTACAAGTGCCCAGAGTGTGGGAAACTCTTCCGGCGCAGCTTCGCACTCCTGGAGCACCAGCGCATCCACAGTGGTGAACGGCCCTATGAGTGCAATGAGTGTGGAAAGGCCTTCAGCAGGAGCTCTAACCTCATCGAGCACCAGCGTATTCACAGTGGTGAGAAGCCCTACAAGTGCAGCCAGTGTCCCAAAGCCTTCAAGGGTGTCTCCCAGCTTATTCACCACCAGCGCATCCATAGCAGGGAGAAACCATTTGAGTGCAAGGAGTGCGGGAAGGCCTTCCGGGGCCGCTCAGGCCTCAGTCAGCACCGCCGGGTGCACAGTGGCGAGAAGCCCTATGAATGCAGCGAGTGTGGGAAGACCTTCAGCAGAAGATCCAACCTCTTTAAGCACCAGGCAGTTCACAGCGAGGAGAGGCCCTACGAGTGTCAAGATTGCAGGAAGGTGTTCCGGAGCAGTTTAGTTCTCCTGGAGCATAGGCGGGCGCATGAGTGTGGGAAAGCCTGCAGCAAGAGTGGTGAGAAGCCCTGCACGTGTGGTGAGTGTGGCAAGTGTGACAAGGCCTTTAAGGGGAAACTGAAGCTTCGTCACTATCAGAAAACTCGCCATGGAAGGAAGACTTTGGACGACAGTGACTGTGAAAAAGAGCCAGACTCCTTGGCCCTCAGAAGGCCCACTGCAGAGCCCCACCCTGCGGATGAGAAGCAGGAGACAGACTCTGAATGCACGGCTACCCACAGTGCCATCTGAAAGGGTTGTCATGGGAGGGCTGAGCGTCCTGCTCCCCTCCATTCTGTTGTTGATAATGTAGTTGAATCAGGAACTTCACTGCAGCCTGAGTCCTGGGCTGATGACACGCTGCCATGTGTGTGCACAGGTGTGCGTGCATGTGAAGCGGATGTGAGCTGCTGAAAGGGCTCTTGCACACCCATTGGGACTTCGTGCTGCAGGAGGAAACCTATGAGTAGGGCCACCCCAAGGGCACAGGCACCTCGAGTTAAGGAAAGGGGTCTATTTTCCCTCATGAGGTCATTCACTTCACCCCAAGACTCGTTAGTGTTTCCAGGTAGAAGACATAAAAGCACTTTAATCCTTTTAGAGCTTATAACTGGAAGGGACTCGAGGAAATTCAAAATCATGAGCTCTGCAAGTAGGCTGTGGCTTGACTGTGACATGCTCTCAAATTCGTCAAGAAACGGTCTGAAAAGACTCGAGCAAATGTTCTCGTGGACTGCTCGTGCCTGCATTGTCAGCCTCTGCTCCGTGGGAAGGCACAGGACACCCTGCTATCATGCTGAGCAGTGACCCATTCTTTTCCCAGGCCATTTGTCTTTGTGCCTGAAAACTGCAGCCTTCCATGGCTGTCCCCACCTGTTGCTTCTCGGAGGAGCAGCACCAGGCCCCATCTTCTCTGAGTTCGGAACTTTGGGGGTTCTGGGGGATGGCTGGCCGGGGGTCTGTGGAGAGGATGAGGCTCAGGGACTCTCAGCTTCTCCTCCCCGAGAGAGGAGCCCTTTAGCTCTGGTCCCTTGAAGCAGCAGGCTCCAGGCAAAACATGGCAACATTTGCCACCGGCTGCCCTGCTACTTTTGGTCCTCTCCCTGCCCCCCAGACCCCAGGCTTGCCCCACCTGCTGCCTTCTGCCCCCCAGACCCCACCAGCAAAGGCCACCCTGGCTTCTCTGACCCTCCTCCCCACCCTCAGTGCCTAAAACTTCAAACTTAGCTGCTTCCCCCCACCCACCCACACAAGCAGCCACCCCTTGTAGCTTGTGCCCAGCAGGAGGAAAGCAAAACGGGTTAGGAATTTGCACAGAGGGTGCCCAGTTGTGGTTCTCTCATTAGCTCTGTCTTTGTATGACATTTCTTAAAGTGTAGGAGGTTCATTTGCTTTGAATATTTTTGCATTCGAGATAATGTAAGTTGAAGATTGATATTTTTGCCATATGAGAGTGTCAGGGAATGGCTCCTGAAATAAGAATTTCCTACCGCCAACCCTCTGAGAAGTACTCAGACAGGAGAAAGGGGCCCTTGAGGCCTGACACACAATCAGTGTGGTGGCAAGCGTGGCCACTCTTCTTTCTCCTCCCCTTTTGCCCGGTGGAAACAGGACACACCCTTCAATTGGCACTTTAATGCAGGCTAAGCAAGGTTCTCAAGGAGAAACTTGTGCCGGCCAGGGGACAGCTGCTGTCCTGTCAGGCTCTATTCCACCTATGCTGTCCCAGAGCTGGGCCCAGGAGTTATGCCCCTTGGTGCTCTCAGCCCAGCACCCTGGTTGGCTTGCCACCTCCTCCCAGCCCTCTTCACTCCCAGGGACTCTGATCTGTCTCACAGAGCGCCCGAGGGCAGGCAGGTGGTAGTTGTGCTGGAGGCCCCCACCCGGCCTCCAAGGAGTATGCACATTCCCTGCAAGACAGGGGAGGGTCAAAGACCCATCAGAAGAGTGTGGGAAAACCTGAAAGCACAGGATTTCTTCTGAACATGCTGCTTGGAGCTCCAATCTCTAGGATGGCTCCAGAAATAAGTATAGGTAAAGGTATAGGTGTATATGTAAATGTAGATGTAGATATTTTATATAGATATATTTAAAGGATTTTACATATCTTTGGCTTATAGAAAGTTCTTGTAACTTGCTCTTATCCTCATAGCCTCCTTCACTGGGTCCATATCCTCTTGTCCTTTGATTGCCTTCTGCTCTGCTGTCACATTCATCTTTGTGCCCTAGTTGCCAAGCCCAGTGCTTGGCACTTAGTAAATGCTTGTGAAATGAATATTGGCCCCTGAGCACATTGAACTCAGGTTCTAGACCACAGTCAGCTCCAGCCTTACCTTGAGGCAGTTGGAAGCTTCTGCAACTTTGGGTTCTCCAGTAGAAAAAGGAGCATTAGGAACAGTGTCTGAAGTCCATGGAGAGATCATTGTGAAATATGTGTTTTTCTAAGGCACAGACAATGTTTGCTAGGTCTGGCATAGGTCAGGAAACCAATCCCCATGCAGAGCAGGAGACAGGGGCAGGAGGCCCCATGCTGGGGCTCCAATCTTGTTCAACCATGGCCTGAAGGGATTGGGGCCACAGCTGCCACGTGATGGGAATCGGGAAGAGTGTTCTAGTAAGTGAGAAAGTTTGCTTACAGGCCAGTCAGTAACCAGCTTTTAATAAAGAAGAGTTGGATCCCCCAAGGATAATGCCATCCCATTGATTCTACTGGATAATCCAACTTGATTTTTAACATGAGCTCCTTTTTCCACCTTAGGACCAACAAGCAAAGATGACTAGGTGGGGCGGGGATAACACACAGATGTTTTTAGCAAAAAGTGTATTTGCCTGGAGAGAATGCCGGGCAATTTCACTCCAGTTTTGGAGTGCCCCAATGCTTACCCAGATAAGTGACATTTTCAATAACAAGACTCCAGGTCAGCTCATAGTGCATCTGAGCCTGTGGACCATTTGACCTTTGAAACTTTGGGTACTTTCCGAGAGCTGTTTAAATGCTGTAGCAGTATCTCTGTGTAACTGGTAACCATCAGATAGTTTAAAGTAACCAGATACCAGTTGGGTCAAAGATGTCAGGGAAGATGATAAGCATGGGATTGTGAGGGAAAGCTGAGATGCCATGTTTGAGCATCCTCGGCCCCTTGCGAAGGTAAGGCAGACACCCTTGAGGGCCAGTTGCATAGGGATCAAGGGCAACCACCTGAGGCTGGTCAGACACCGTGACATGAGATGAGGAAGGGTCGAGCATCACATCAGTCCCCTGAGAAGCAGCTGTATCCTCCTCCCAGTTGTTTCTGTTGCCTTTCTTCAGGCAACATGGCAGCATCCACACTCATCAGTGTGAGTGCTCTGTCTGGCCCTGTGTGGCCCTGTCGAGAGGGCAGCTCCACCTTCACCCTTCCCTTGTTTGCTTCTTAACCTCTCTCTGTGGAGGGACACCAGCATAGATACCCATCTGTCCTGTAGGCCCAGAAGCCCCTCCCCCTGGCCTTGCCACCTCATGGTGCCTGGGTCTCCTCTCTACCTCCCTCCTCCCGCAGCCATGCTTGGGGTCCTTGGCCCTTCCCTCTGTCCTTTATGTTCAATGGTCATTGAGCCACCGAATCCTGTCCACTGCCACTTATGGTTGGCCCAGCCCCATCTGCCCTCATGTGTGAGTGCTGGGTTGATGGTGGCATCCATGTCTGGGCTCTAAGTAGACCTGGGCCCTTAGCTTTTTCCAAGTATGGTCGATGTGTTAGAACGTTTGCTTAGATTGCCTGCAAGAATTCCTTTGCTTGGCAAAGCTTCCGGGTGCCTTCAACAAAGAAATAAGCAAGGACTGTGCTCTCTGGAACCAAGTGGCTGGAATCCCAGATTTGCTCTCAAGGAAGGAGAAAAAAGGCCTGAGAAGGGGGGTCTCAGAAGATTCACTGTCATTGCTGCTCATCCTTAGCTCCCAAATGTTTACTGAATGGTTTACCCTCACTCCTGGGGCATTCTGGTTGGCGTTATGGCAGCACAGCTGCATCAGGACGCTGGTGTCAGAGTCGACTCCATGAAGCATTTAGGATGGGCCAGGACCCCGAATCTTCACTCTTTTACTCAGCCAAGGGGACACAGCAGGCTTTCAGTTGGGGGTGCTAAGTGAGTGCCTTGTTAGGTAGCAAAGCATGACAAGCAGTGTCTCAAGGCCAGGGTAGGAGTAAGTACCAGGTGATCTCTCAAATCAGGAAGTAGAGATCAAGGGTCTTCCCTCGGGGTGGAGGGAAGAAGGGAGAACACACGGTGTGTTCAGGAACCCTAGAAGGGCAGAGGCTTGCTGTGGGACAGTCAGAGGTAAAAGGTCATTAGAATTAGCATAGAGAGCCTGGGATGCCAGAGGAAGAAGTTTGGACTCTAGCTAGTTCCTGATAAAAATCAATTTTTAAAACCATGACAGAAATATTCTAAGATCGAGGTGGGAAAGCTAATGTAAGATATAACTGCTAGATTGTGTGAATTTACACACTGACGACCACTAAGTATACACATTGTATATCTAGATGGTTTGAGTGCTCATTTGGTGTCAACACGTGCATACAGATGGCAGCAGTCCACCACCCATGATGCTTTGACACAAACAGCCTCAACTGATGTTCTCGGGAGTCCCATGGTATTTTTAGCTGGTTTCCTCTTATGCTAGCACTGATGTGTCTATGACCTCTAAACATAGCCTCCCTCCAGGGTTTGAAGATTACTGATTCTTCATTTTTCTTTGATAGCTTCATAGAGGTATAATTAACATACAAGAAACTACACATCTTTAAAGTGTACAATTGGATGAGTTTTTATATAGACACACCCGTGAAGTCATAACAATGAAGACAGTGAATGTATACATCCATCATCCCCGAAAGTTACTTTGTCCCCTCAGTGCTCCCTCCTTTTTGTCCCTCCCTGCCTTCCACGCCACAACCACTGCTCTGCTTTCTGTCACTTAATTCATTTGTATTTTCTACAATTCTATGTAAATGGAATCCTGCTGTATGCACTCTTTCTTGTCTGGACTCTTTCACCCAGCATCATGATTTTAAAGTTCATCTAGGTTGCTGTATCAATCCTTCATTTTTATTGTTGAGTATTATTCTACTGTGTGCATGGACCACAGTATTTGGGTTGTTTCCCGGTTTGGGCCATGACTAATAAAGCTACTATGACATATGTCTGGGTGGACATATGTTTTCAGTTCTCTTGGGTAGACACATGCCTGTGAGTGAAATTGCTGGGTCATA